TCCCTACATCAAACCGTTTTCACCGGAGCGGGGAGGCGTTGAGAATGCAGGATCAAAGCGTCCCTGAAAGATGGGACTGGGGCGAGGGAACCAGGGGGAATTAAGGTGGGGGGTGTTGAAGGTGAGACTGACTGTGTGACAGAGATGTGTGCAAAAAAGAGACTTTCCAGAAAAGCATCGAATGAAAACGTCTTTACTGTAGGTAGCCCTTCAGTCATGAGCTGCTAAAAGAAGACTTAATATCATGCCTATGTTTTAGATGCATAACTGAAGCAGAAAAACAACATGAAATGACTGGAAAATCCATCTTAAGCTAATAGCATTAGCTAGCCCACCCTAGTCATTAGCCACAGTAGATCATCTTGCATCCGCAAAAACAGATACCAGATGGTCAATATGGTTGTTATTTGGAACCTGGTAAGATCAATGACCAACTTGGATTAGCTAACGAGCTAGAAAACAACTAACCACACCTATTATTTCAAACTGGATTTTCCATAAGGGTACAGACTGCTATTTTCCAAAATACGTCTGTTAAAACATCACATATTTTCAGATTTAATTGTCAAGCTACAGAACTTGATATTTCCTTATTGCAAAATCGATATAAATATATTGCATTACATATCAAATTATACATATTGTAAAATATACCGAGTTATAGTAGCATTGGCGAAGCTACAAACTAATCATAATTTGAATTACGTAAACAACAGTCAAGCAAATGTTTTGAAAATAATGTGTTTATGTAAACTTATCGTGTTTGTGTTTTAAGTTTTAGTTTATTAACTATACATTCTTTAATGGAAAACGTGTGCATTTTAAATGTTTTACCTTAAAAAAATACTTAATAAATAATGTGTACTTTTTTAAAACTTAAAATAATGTTTATGTACAACTTTTGAATCTATACATGCATTTATGTAAAACTTAATATGTTTATGCATTTTAAGTCTATTAACTTAAAATAAAGCATTTATGAACAACTTTTACCGAACTATACATGCATTTATGTAAAACTTGTGTTGTGCATTTTAAGCTAATTCATTTGAAATAATGATCATACAAAACTTAAACCAATCAAAATTTAAAGCAATAAAACTAGTCAAGCAAATGTTTTGAAAAAGTAGATAGCTACTAACAAACAGTAGCTATCCACATTGAAGTTAAACAGGAAATGTTTTAAAAATTAAACACACAATGTAAAAAATTAAAAACTGTACTATATATAATTTAAATCAGAAACATTTGAATCAGGGGATTTTAATTTAAAAATAATTTAAATAAAACTTGAACAGATAAATGTATACTAAAAAAAACCCCCACCTCATTTGCATAACCAAAAACATACTACAAAATATAGGGACTGTGATATTATTTCCTCAGGTCAGACATTAAAATCCGCAATATACAATGCTACACCGGGCTGGATAAAGTACCTTGTAACTGGAAAAGCTACACTGTTAAGAACATAACTGAACTGCTATCACACTCCTGAAAAATGTAGTCAAGTTAGTAGTGTCACTACTCGAAGTTAATTACCTCCCAACACTGCTGTAAAATTCTCTTTTGAAGTACCATTTAACTGAAATCCATTGTT